ATAGCAGAGCTTGATGAGTTTAGAAGGAAGGCAATATAAGCGTGATTCAGATTTTACATGCCAAAAATCCAGAACAGAATCATGCTTTGATTTTTGTGTGAGTGTGTAATACAAATTCTGGAATAGTCTAACCGTTCAGTGTAACATAAGGAGCTGAATTGGAGGAAAATGGCCCTGGAACTGCTTTTTTTTTTTTTTTTTTTTTTTTTTTTTTTTTTTTTTTTTTTTTTTTTTAATCAGCCAAAGTTACAGACTTTCTGTCCTCTGAGAGTCCTGTCTGCAATACTGGTCCTTCTGCCCTCATTTTTTCAGAAGCACTGGGCAGTCACAGGTATCAACAAACCTGCCATCTGCTATATTGCTCTCCAGACCTACTAATGAGTTTTTTTTTCCCCTTCATTTGTTTTCTCAAAGCAACTTGGATGATTCTGCTTTAATTCAACTGCCCTCTTGAGTGAATAGCATTAGACATGAGCACCCAAACAAAAATTATGCAAAATATAGAGGGTTATATAGATACATACTCTCTTCAGCACCCAAAAAAGAATTTTCCTATGTAATTTCATTTCTGCAAGGGTGTTAATGATTTTTATTAACTTAATAGAGCGACTGCTAGTTTTTCTGACTGTGAATTAATAAGGCTTGTCATCACAAAGCTTGCCAAGCTTTGTCAAGACCAGCTTTCCATTTTTATTAACTCTCCAGTTAGCTCTCTTGCAGCACCTAAATCTGGAGAGCTGGATGTTTAAACCCTAACAGTTTAGAGTTTAAAAGATCAAAACACTTGCAGTCTCTTTCTGAAATTTGCTTGCCATAGAACTGATTTTGCTGCTATGGGCACAAACTCCTGTTTACAGCAACGCGGGGCTGCTGCTTATCTTTGGTTCGTGACCATTTCCAGCGCAGGGCTCCAAGCGGCGCCTGCTGCAGTGATCTGGCTGTGGCCACTCTTGACCTGCTCTCGCTGATGCCAGGAAAAAGCTTTGGATCTCAGGACAGCTGCATTCTACCTTCCTAAGGAGAGATCCCCGTGCAATGTGAAGGAAGGAAGGAAGGAGAAGCAGAATCATTGCTCCAGGCATTGCTCATAAACTCATCTGCAGCGAGGCTGCGCAGAAGGAAGCTTCAGCTGAAGCACATTGTGGTATAATGGGTATAAAACTAGCTATTTTGTAAAAACAGCTTGACTGCAGCTCTTGTGGAAAGCTGCATTTTCTGCTGGTTTTCTCTTTTTCAGGCTTCTCTACGGGTAATCTAGAAATCAAGCCATAATCTCTCTTGGGTCCTTTTGGAAGGAAATGCTGCTGTCTATTTAAACTACAGTGGGCTCATTTCTGTGACTGCCTTCCAAAGCCACTGGGAGTCATTACCTGTTGGCAGCTTCGCAGATACAGAAATGCAGGGTTGGACTGTTGTGGGCAAGAGGCTATTGAACAGCAGCTTCTGCTACAGTAATTCCAATCCGAATATGTGGATGTGACCTCTGTCCTGACCTGTGAAATGGACAAATCCATTCAGCTGTGATTAAAAACTTAATGGTGATCCCATTCCCAGACTGTGATTCCAGAGGGATTGCGGCAATTGATTGGCCATGTTCAGAGTCATTTCTACTGGCTCAGATGGCCCATCTCTGCAAGCCAGTGTTCCCAGCCTCACTGCAAGAAATGCTCCCAAGCAGCAGAGGCTGCTGGGCAGCAATTGCCCTGCTCTGAGGCTGCTGCCCTGCTTAAGACTCGGGATGGAAGGGTGCAGGGTCTGTCCTTTATCCTGAGCTTCTTCAGAAGCTGCAGTCGGTACCTGTGGCTTGTTTTAGCAGTGCTCAATCCCTGCTCTTGTTGCTTTGTTTCAGCATATTTGTTTCTCCGCAAATACCTCTTTTCATATTTGCAGGCTTAAAAGATATTTTAGCTTTTAATCATGCAGCTACAGGTAATGTTGGTCTTGAGCTGGATAAAAGCTGTTTCTTTTGTACAAAGGAGATGGTGTCTTTTACAAACGATTTCAAGCTGCCCCTACACAGCAGGCTGCTGCTCTCTTATGCATCCAAGCTAATATTTTGGTTGAGGAGTCATTGCTGACTAGACAGTTCAGTCTTCAGTGCACAATGTCATTCCATGATACAGAACTTCTGAGAACCTTGTTCCAGCTGCCTGCAGCTTCATTGATGCTTTTTCTGCTTGTTTGTTTGGTTTCTTTAATATGATGAATTGAATTTGGAGAAGGAAAAACTGATGTTCACTGTGTGACTCTTCCTGCTCTCAGCAAAAAACAGTGAGGATTTTTTCTTTTGGAAAGTAGTTTTATTTTGAACTCCTCCTGAAGTAATGCTTCTAATAATTCAGCTGCGTGTCACCGAGGAAGGAAAGCAGCTTAAGATGTGTGTGACCTGGCTTTATTCTTTGAAGCACATATAAGGCTTGTGGAAAGTCCTGGGCTCCCACTTCAGAGATTTACAGCTTTTTACCTGCAGCACAGGTTCAGGTTAGCCAATTACATGAGAAGCCTTTTTTCCATATTTAACAGATGCTTATTCCCATCTAAATTCATGGAAAATTAATGAAAAATTCTAGACTCATCTGCTTGATGTGGTAAAATATTGTTAAATACCCGCAGCACTTAGTTCAGCTATCAGGACAGACATGATAAAGTCATGTGAAGCTCCTGGCTGTGTTTTTCTAAGTTTGTTTTAGCACCTTTCCTTTTACATCTATTATCACAATCTAATGTACCTACCACTCCACTGGCACTCTGTAATGCCATGGATGACTCGAGTAAATTCCTCTGGATATCAGGAAAGAAGCATCTGTGCAGTTCCCAGCAGGAAAGTATCAGATACAGTTATGAAGAAATCCAGAGGGAGTAATGAGACAAAAACGTATGTGCAACCACTGGGGCTGCAAAACCCCAAACCTGCGTAATTTGGAGATCTAATCAGTGAGATAATTTGCATGTGCGGTTGCTTGTTCATCCACATAAATACTGTGAACTATTTGGCTGTTAAAAATAGTTTATTAAATATATGTAAAGCACCAAGGATAGTTAAGGTAAATCATGAACTGTGGGAATGCTGAAGGTTATTATTTATTGTAATATAGCATATGTATCTGTGAATGCTTTAAAGAGTCAAGTGATCAGCATAATCCCCAACAAAGCCTGTAGCGCTTTCTCCTCTAATGAGATCAGTGGATGGCTCCATATGGTATGTGTTAAGAATTTTAATGGCTTAATGAATATGCTTAGTAAAAATAAATAAATAAATGTCAGTAGTAATTAGGGGCTGACAGGTTAGGGATGTGGGGAAAGCAGAGAGCCCTCCCTGCAAATGCACCATGCTGAAGGCAGGAAATGTCTCCTGCTGCCTTTGTTCTCTGGAGAAGAGCAGCAGAGCAAACCCCTCCTGAGAGAGACCCTGGTGGCACCTGGAAGGGGCCGAATATGAATCCTACCCACACGGACTTGTTTCCCATGAGTTCAGTGAGTGGTATGATTTGTGAATGCGGAATAATTTTTAAAGCAAATGGTGTGAATAAAAATATGTAACCTAAGCCCTTCTGTTCATGCAGCCAAGAAGAAATTCTGATTTTTATCTCCTGGTCTCTTTGGATGCTTAGGTCATAAAATAATAGCTTTGCTGTTAGCTGGGACAGCTGAGTTGAGTTCTCTGTGCACTTTGCTTACCTGTCTAACAGTGGAGACACAAATTAGCTGTTGTACACACAAGTCTGATAGGCATCTGCATCCTGTGTCTGTTTTAGAAAATGATGCTGTGAAACAAAAATGATGATACTGCAATGGAGAGAGGGAGGAGATATCAGGCAATCTCCACCCCCTGCACTCCCACCCTGGCTATAGTTGGGGGAATTTATAAAAACAAATCATCTGTTTTGTTCCTGGCTTGAATGGGACCACGGCTGTTGAAAGTTTCTTTATTTAGATCTGCAAGAGTTGAGCTCACTGTTCATGTGGCAATGGTCGACGGAGAGAAACGGACTAGTTGTTCTTACTGGCAGATTGAATTTATTCAGCTACATCCAAAAAATAGAAACTTGGGTCTATTTACTGATTCCTGGCAGGATTTGTCTGTTGCATAAGCTTATCTCTGAGGAATACTGAATCTACGTTTTGGGGATTTTTTTACCCCAAAGATGATATTTTTACCATGTTTTGTAAATCTTGGTCTTGTGAAACTTCTTTTTTTATCACTCGCAACATCAGCTGCTACTTTTCTAGAAGAATTTGATAAAGATATGACATTTTCCATATAACAAGGAAGCTTGCTTTTCATGTAAATTCTTTTGAAGTGAATGCTATTTCAGTTGAAGATTCTGGATCTGACAGTGGAGAGGTATTTTCTCTTTTTTTTTTCTGAGGATGTCTTGAATAGCTGTGGATTTTTGCACTTAAATGTTCTCAGTGAGTCTTTTAATGACCTGAAGCACTTTCATGGGTGCTTTGCCTGAAGCTGATAAGAAGTCTCTGACTTGCACAGCTCTCCCCAAAGTTGTTAAAATCTAGAATTTTTATGCTATAGATACCTGTCTGTTAGTAGTGCTCACTCTAAGCAGAATAAATTAAACTAGAGTAAGAAGGGGAAGGGACAGTTCTAAACTCATGATGATTTTGGTTTGCTGCTCACCTGACCTGAACCCTTCATGACCATGTTCCTGGGCCTTCATGTAGTACAGTCCACAGCTCCTAAGTATGGGTGAAAACCTTGTAAGTATCTTTAAGATATGTGTTTTTAGCGTGGAACTAAGCATGGGTTAATACACCTTATTCAATCCATGCCAGGTATCTCTGCTTGTCTGTTTAGTGTCCAGTTGCTGTGAAGTCTGTTCTTTTCATATCTATCTTTTTTTTTTCTTTTTTTTTTTTTTTTT